TAAATAAATCTCGTTTATGGCACTGAATATAGGATGTACAAAAAAATATTGTCAAACTACTTTTTGAAGAAATATCCATTACTCGAACAAATGACTAGAAAAGAATATAAAGGTATTATTATTATTAAAACTTTGTCCTATTCCACCTTTATTGCAATAAAGTCTACTTGTTTGAACAATTACTGTTTTTTTACAAAATTTAATTAAACAACCTACGGGCCCTTTACGCCCAGTTATGATGAATATGGCTTGCCCCCTCCGTATTACCGCGACTGCTGGCACGAAGTTAGTCGGGACTGATTCTTAATTTAATGTCATTATCCTCAATTAAAAAAGAGGTTTACAACCTAGGCCTTCAATCCCTCACCAAGTCTTGCTGCATCAAGCTTTCGCTCATTGGTTACAGTAAAAGTAAGACCTCTCTNTACAAATCGTGCTCTTTCTTCACACTTCCAAGCCAAGGGTCTATCTCAGAGCCGGGGTTGACACGAAACGTGCCTGTGTGGGCAAAGCCCTGATGTCCAGACATACATGGCCTCGGCTGTCGCCTTGACCGCTTGCGCCACGATGTTGGCGACGTTGGTGGGATTGTTGAAAGATTGGGATCCCTGGCTGGAGGGTGAAGGCTGGTTGCCGGTGGCGGTATGTCGGCTGGTGTGGGACGTAGCGACTGCTCGCCGGTGGTAGGTGACTGCTGTTCTGCTGGCAGTGGGGCGATTNTAAGCCTTCAATCCCTCCTTGGTAGAAATTCGTGACGACCTTCCACCCCTGCTGGGGACTCTCACATGCCATGATCAAGTTCTGGATCGGAGGGTATAGAATCTTGCTGATGATAATATTCCACAACTTCAACGACTTGTCCACCACATCAGTCCCGAAGATGCCCCTTAGCTCTGCTAGATCCACACCCCTCTTGCCAACCTTGACATCAGTGATCCCTAATACATCATATACACCCTCTTCCTGAAAATACGACACCATCTTACTGCGAAAAACATCAAACATAATATACAAATCCTGCTCTTTCTTCACACTTCCAAGCCAAGGGTCTATGTCAGAGCCGGGGTTGACACGAAACGTGCCTGTGTGGGCAAAGCCCTGATGTCCAGACATGGCCTCGGCTGTCGCCTTGACCGCTTGCGCCACGATGTTGGCGACGTTGGTGGGATTGTTGAATGATTGGGATCCCTGGCTGGAGGGTGAAGGCTGGTTGCCGGTGGCGGTATGTCGGCTGGTGTGGGACGTAGCGACTGCTCGCCGGTGGTAGGTGACTGCTGTTCTGCTGGCAGTGGGGCGATTTCTGCTCTCTCCTTCGCAAGTTGGGCGTCCACCCTTCGTTGAACTTCTTGTTGCAGCTCTTCTTTGCTGAGGGTGGAGAGGTCGATTTCGGAATCCTCCGAGGTAGGCATGATGTTTTTGTTGTGGGAGTCTACCGATTGCGCGTGAATGCACAACCCCCCGGTGTACTACGACCGCGCGCAGAATCTGAATCTGATTCGCACTAGTGTGAAACGTAAAACTACGCGGGGTGCAGCAAGCCCGTGTTGGGCGTCTCTTGGGGCAGTGGGTAGTCGGCCGTGTTAGGCCGAGAGAGANCCTTTGCACCGATAAACAAGCCGTTTGAGGATCGTTTTCGGTGCGGAAAGGTACACAAGCTGTAGCGTAACAAGGCCATCATTCCGCACCCAAGCGTTTCTCATTTCGTGCCCGCGTCGCTGCGTTCGGTGCCGATATGTACTCTATTCACAATCCGTTTCATCGATAACTGCGCCAATTGGCGACGTTCTGCAAAAAAAACGAGTGCCCAAGCCTACTCCTAATAGGTGAACACTTCTCGCGTCGTTGTTTCCTTGCACCAACCCCTAAGTCACTCGTTCACACCCGGTTTGTCCTCTCTTTGCGGCGTCCTTCAACTGTCATTTGGGCAACGTGTGTGTCGGTTTGGTTCTGCTGCTGCTGTGTTCTTTTTTTGACCTCGTCCACACCGAGTGGCCAACTTTGGCACGTGTTCAGACCAGCTACCACGCATCTCCTCCTCTACAGCTCGCGGCTTTCACTATCTGCATATCACAGAGGGTGTTCGCGTGTGGTTTGCAGACCACGACAGGGCGTAGTGAGGAGGGGCTCGCGATCGGCGACAACTAGCGTGCTAGTTCAAATATTCTGCTGCTGCTGTGTTCTGAGTGGTGGGGCATTTTTTTCTACTTCTTCATGTACTAACGCATACGGAGTGCTGACAACAACAATTCGCATCAACAACATTTCGGGTGTGTGTACCAAAACAAAAGCAACACATATTCACGGGGGGCGCACGACCCAGCCTACTGCAGGTACTTTCCGCAGCACGGGTTGTGCCGTTGTGATAGTGCGCGCGGAAAAAACTCCCACCACTCGGGGTCTAGTAGCTGCTAGTCCTATTTTTCAATATACCACACACTATTGTCATACTTACTTGGTATTCGGGTTCTGTTGATGACCCAATTACCCAATCAAATGCAGAGCAGTGCGGCTCTGCATTACCAAGGTTCCGCGCTAGGTTCGAGGTTCTCGCCTCTTATGGATGCTTGATTGTCTTTGCGAATGTCGTCGAGGAAGGGAATGGACAGATAGCTGGAAACTTGTTGTTGATTCGTCTCTCGGCAGCTGCTGCACTCGACGCAGCTGCATACCAACACTGCTTTGCTGTTCAACCTATCCATGCACACACATGCTGAACTCAACCTCTGTCTAGATCTCTGCAGTGGAACTGGTACTCAACACATGCCTACTTAACCTTTGCCCTTGCCCGGTTAGCTCTCACTTCTCTGAACTCATGGGGTTGACCCAGAGCCATATTCATGCAAACACACGTCATCTCGCAGAACAGCAAATTCCGCCGCATCTTAACGCCAACACAGCATATAACGGGGACAAGGTCCAAACAGCCCCTGAAACGAGCCTACTTCGTACCACATTCCCCCACACTGCTTTTTGGCACATCGGGAAATATTCTGGTATCTCCAGAAAGCAATCCAAAAACATGAATTCCTCAAGACAAGAGAAACCGGCGTCCAGTACTATTTCCATACTGAAACTGGTACAGATCACATCAGCTCTAAACTTCCAACAAAATTCCAAACATCAACATTTATCCGTCTCGACCGCCGTGGCAAGACAGCAATGTTCGAAACCCCGTGGAATTCGCTCCATCCTAAGCGGGAACTCGTTTACACTCACGACACNCGGGAAATATTCTGGTATCTCCAGAAAGCAATCCAAAAACATGAATTCCTCAAGACAAGAGAAACCGGCGTCCAGTACTATTTCCATACTGAAACTGGTACAGATCACATCAGCTCTAAACTTCCAACAAAATTCCAAACATCAACATTTATCCGTCTCGACCGCCGTGGCAAGACAGCAATGTTCGAAACCCCGTGGAATTCGCTCCATCCTAAGCGGGAACTCGTTTACACTCACGACACAAGCCCTCAGCATTTCATCCCTTCGGGCCCAAGTACCCCCACACAAACCACCATACACGAATCTCAAGAAAACTCTTCATCCTACCGTCTGCCGTCCAGAATCCATTTTACCCCGTGCCGCGCTGCCGTGTTTTGGAAACGACAACCGGCACCACCCCCAAAAATCCCGGCGAAACAACCTTCACCTGACTTGCCAATACCTGATCACGACGAATGTTACTGAACGAAAGCATTGTTGTCCCCGGTAAGAAAGACGTCGTACTCACCCCTGAGAAAGGCGGCAACGAGCCCCTGTGACCACCCACAATCGGACATTCGACTGTTGAAATCGGCGCTACCCGACGGTGCACGCCGACCCCCAAAAGGACTCCCAACAACAAAGTCAATTGCTTCACGTTGTTTTGTGACTCACACCCCAGCTTTATGAAGCCATGAAATCCACCCGAGACAGATACATCACCGATCCTTTGGCCAATTTCCTCCCCACGCGTGTCTGATGTACGCGCACTCTCCCAACGCAAGGCTGAAGCTGAATTTTCACATATATACAGCACATTGACAAGGACAAACATAGACACAGCACTTGACAAGGACAACAGCACTTTGACATAGACACAGCACATTTTCAGCTTCAGCTTCCTTGCGGAATACTTACTACAGGAGAGCAGACCTGTGACGGTCTTAGGGGAAAAGAAAAGCCAACGAACCTTGCTGTATTGCCTACCCTGGAACTCCAAAGTTCACCAAAGAATGACCACCATGAGAACGATATCATCGCGTTGAAAAAAAGCTTCGAAAGCTTCCTGCCCGGAATCGGTGGAACCACAACGAATCATTGACCCCCTATCCTAGAAGTAAAGCACGACGACATTCCCTTCGAGGACTCAAACACTCCCGGACTTCGCACCCCCAATGACCAAGGCACCAATAAACCAACCGAAAATTTGAATCGAAATTCTTTGAGACGGGGCAGCCCACAAACGTTTCAGCGAAAACTCTCAAGTTTCTACCGAACACCGGCTATTTTTGAATGGCCTGTGCCTCTCCCCCCCATCTTCCCGAAAAAGGACGGCACGTCGCTACCAAGACCCCAGAGCAAAACAACAGCCGACACACCACACCGGAAAAAAAAACATCATCGGCATCGGAAGGCAACACCAAATCCACAAACAAAAAGATATTGAACGGCGCCGGCGAGTGAAGTTACGGAAAGCGCCGACGGAGGCGATTGAAGGTGCTCGAAGCGCCGACGAGGTCGTAGGCAGTCGTGCGAAGCACCGTCTCGCTCTCCCCTTCCACCTTGAAAAACCCTCGAGGTGCCGTCTCGCTCCCCCCCCCACCACGAGAATCCCGCAAGGCGCCGACGTGCTCGCCTCTTCCGCCACGAAATTTCTCCACCGCAGCGCTCCCCGTCCACGACGACAAAACCTCCTTCACAGCGCTCCCCGTCCACCACGAAAAAAAAACCTTCACAGCGCTCGTCGCCCACCACGATGAAATCTCCGCCACAGTGCACCCCTACCACCACGACCAAACCACCACCACAGCGCACTCCTCAGGTCCCGTTCCGTCGGACGCTCCCGGACCGCATGTGCACCAGAAAGCACCATGGGCCAGGTGGACCATCCACCACCGTACAACATTTCGCCGGCGACGGCGACACGTTGAAACGCCGCTCGAGGTCGACGAAATGGACGCTGCACGGGAGGTCCTCCGCCCGCGCCCTCGAAACCTGATGATCCACCCCCAGCTGCCAGCCCTCCTCCTTCGACCGCACGTAAACATGCGCCCCTTTCATCTCCGCCGACAGGAAGGTCGGACCACGCTCCCATGTAGCCAGTAACGCGTAACCTGGTGGCACATAAAGGGAGTTAGGAGCGAGCTTGCGCGCGGAGCGCGGCAAGCTTATTATAGTCACAGTGCACTCATTGTCGGCACCTACTTGACGTACCGTACTGCCCACCCAATACCTGTGCACAAAAATACCATACTGCTGGGTGTTTGCTTTAGATACCCAAGCGGGCCGGCGGTGTCCGCGCCAACGTGGGTCGTATTGTACCGCTATGGAACCTCCTGGACCTCTACTGATACGGTGACCGGTGATGGCAACCGGCGGTGCCCGCTGTACTTCAAGCTCTATTTCCACTTCGTCCACGGAGACAGGAAAATGGGGCTAGGTCTGTGAATGCATGCAGCACGTAAGAACCAATCTGCCATAAAAAAACTCAAATGCCTGACACTCGGCGAGAAATTTAGACAGATGGCCTCTTGCTACTGCTCGACTAGAGCTTGGAGGATGTTTTTTCCAGCCAGGCAAAGGAGCGAACCCTCAATACACACCGCAGAACTCGCGCTACGACATTTTTTATTTCATTTGTGTTTGTTGGATCAGTCATCGTTGCTATATTTCGCCGCCCCCGTCGGCGAGAGTAGGCACATGCGCGTCCGACCGGTGAGAACGGGGACAGCCGATAGAGATGCAAGCGGCTAGCGTTAGAAGCTATCGCAGGCGCGGCGCCGTTTGCGTCACTATCTTAAACATCGGCCAACGGGGAAGCCGACGGCGGGGAACAACTCTCCTCTTCTTCCGCTCCGTTGTCACCAAACCGATTTGGTGGGATGGTACCACCATCGCGCGGCTAGGTTTCACCTACGGCGGGAGGATTTTGGTTTTCGGTAGTCACTGGAAGCGCTAGCAACGCGCTCGATGCTCGCTACGTAACTACCCCGGGGAGATGGCCTTACAACCGCAGGCAGGCGTCGTCTTGAGCGCCGCTTTTCTCACGGCAGCCAAATTCCCGTGATTGTCTTTTACTACTTTCGGTGCGGGTTTCGGTTTCATTTCGGTGTTCGGGCCGGTTTTGAGCGGCAGAAGTCTTCGTAAAAGGGCAAGCTGGGATTCCACGGATCAAGCGGACAGCCCCCTCTTCTCTATTGCCTACGACTCCAGGACACAAGACCTAGTCGGCTAAGACTACACTCAACCTCGTACTGTGCACTCGGTCTGTCAGACTCGGAGTCGGCTCGGGTTTCGGAGCTACACAACCTGGTAGCTTCGCCGGTGTTTTACTACTGTCCGACAAAGTAGGTGGGGAACTACAGTGGACGGCTCCCCGTCCCTCTCAGCACTAAAATGGTCGGAAATCACCAGACGTGTCAGACGGCGGTAGCGGCGGTTTCCGCCCGTCCCCACCACCGCAAGGTTCCGACGGTTCCGTCACCAAGAGGCGGAAACTCTCGGTGTCGACTTCCTATTTTCCAGAGTAAGAAGGGTGTCTCACCTATACCATATTGGTATCGGATCGCGGCACGGCCCGAACGCCATCGGATACACGTCCTCGCATGGAGAGGGCGGTATCAATCTCCTCGCGGGCACGGCGCACGGCAGCAGGACGGGCTGTGGCGACACCACCGAGCTGTGCACCAGCGGGTTGACCGCGTGGAGACGACGCACGTGGCGAAGAGTCGTACTGCGACCGGCATGATGGGTAAATCCCCCGTGACGACCCGGACGGGCCAATTTCAGGAGATTCGGTAGGCGAGGGAGAAGATAGAATGGGCGTGCCCAAGGAAAAGGGGCTACTAGAACGAGAGGCTCACACGCGACAAGTCGCGCAGCCGGAAACAACCGAATTGCGAGTACACATTGCCATGACGCAGACGCGAAAGACTACAGCGGTACTTCAAACCNGGGAGAAGAGAGACGGGCAATGGGCGTGCCCAAGGAAAAGGGCCTACTAGAACGAGAGGCTCACACGCGACAAGTCGCCCAGCCGGAAACAACTGAATTGCGAGTACACATTGCCATGACGCAGACGCGAAAGACTATAGCGGTACTTCAAACCAAAAGCCAACAACAACTAACAACGCAACCGATCTCGCACCCAGGGAAGAAACAAGCGCCGAGGACGCCAATGTTATTCTTGGTATTCGGGTTCTGATGATGACCCAATTACCCAATCAAATGCAGAGCAGTGCGGCTCTACATTACCAAGGTTCTGCGCTAGGTTCGAGGTTCTCGCCTCTTATGGATGCTTGATTGTCTTTGCGGATGTCGTCGAGGAAGGGAATGGACAGCTAGCTGGAAACTTGTTGATTTTTCTCTCGGCGGCTGCTGCACTCGACGCAGCTGCATTCCAACACTGCTGTTGCTGTTCAACCTATCCATGCACACACATGCTGAACTCAACCTCTGTCTAGATCTCTGCAGTCGAACTGGTACTCAACACATGCCCACTTCACCTTTGCCCTTGCCCGGTTAGCTCTCTCTTCTCTGAACTCATGGGGTTGACCCAGAGCCAACTTCATGCAAACACACACGTCATCTCGGAGAACAGCTAATTCCGCCGCATCTTAACGCCAACACAGCATAAAACGGGGACAAGGTCCAAACAGCCCCTGAAACGAGCCTACTTTGCACCACAAATTGTCAAGTTTGAGNACCCTTGCCCGGTTAGCTCTCCCTTCTCTGAACTCATGGGCTTGACCCAGAGCCATAGACTATTCATGCAAACACACACGTCGCCCCGGTGGTCTAGTGGGTAGCCTCGCAGCCTGCTAAGGGCCAGGTCATGGGTTCGAGTCCCGGCAGGGAGAGTTTTTTTCTCACTAAATAAATCCTGGTCTAGGATGTAAGCGACGCGCTGCAAAGCCCGTTTGTTAGTAAACCATAGTCTAATCGACTTCGTAAGTCGCGAGGGAAGGGATTGCTGTACCCTTCTCGCGATAAAAATACCTCAGGCATGAACCGCAGGAGGGGGTCAAACCCCCNGGAGGGGGGTTCAACCCCACCCTCCTATGTGACCCCGGTTGGGTCGTCTAGCCAGTAGAAGTGGAGGATAGGGGCCAGTGGGGCAGACGGCAGAGTCCAATGATGGGAGAGAAACAAAAAACAAAACACATCATCTCACAGAATAGCTACTTCCGCCGCGTCTTAACGCCAACACAGCACATAACGGGGACAAGGTCCAAACAGCCCCTGAAACGAGCCTACTTCGTACCACACTTTCCTCCCCCCTGGAGTACACCCCCCCCCCCCCCCCCCNCTTCCCCGGTGTTTGCCATCGGGATTGGGTTTTCGTCGGTTGGCAACGACGTTGTAAAAAGCCAATTCACTTCGTGAACTCGGTGAAGGCCACCCAGACTCTCGAATTCATGGGTTCGAGTCCGTGTGGAGGTGTCTTTTTTTTTCAAGACATTTTTATTTACAATAGGTATGTGGGCGACTGCGAACGAACGCAAATAATTCAATGTGTATATTCCCGCACAAGCCTAGTGGAGGTATTTTTTTCAAACAAAAAAAACTATTCCACCTCCCGAATCTAGCAAGTGGTGTGTGAGGCGGGAGGGGTACAACAGGCGGACGAGACGGCGAGGAGGGAGGGAAGACAGGAAACGCGAAGAGGCGGACCGAGTGGGGAGCGAAGTACTCTGTGTTTGCGGCCTACGCTACTTATTTATCGGGTGAGACTGTTTTGGTGATGTATTAACTTCACG